TATAAACAATTAAATAAAAAAAATCATCTGCATATAAAATTACAATGCAATCACTATCACTAAAAAAAAATTATCTCTTACGATGCCTTTTATTGCAACAATTTATATTAAAATTTTATTAAAATAATATTTATAATACCCTATATTATGATAATTTGTGCTGAAAAAGAACATTGCAATTGAGAATTTGTTTTAATGTATATTAACAAAAATTATGCTATAACAGTAAAAAGAAAATCATTATAAATATCTTAAATTACATGATATTCATACTTATTTGACCAAATGCAGCTACAACATCGTTGAAAAAGATACAAATATATCAAAGTTAAAACTTTAATTCTACTCTTTATAAAACTTATTCCCTTTTCTCCAAATTTTCTATGTTCAAGAAATAGGAATATTTTTTTTTGAACATGAAGAAATAGAAATATTTATTTGACCGACTTTTAGGGAATCGCATCAATTTAAACGTACAATAATGTAAGTCCTCCCATCAATTAAAAGAAAATCATTCATCCAATTCGAACATGATCTTTTGGTCAAGTGGTTCTAATTAAAGTTTATATTCCTTCTCTCCAGGACGACGGTTCGAGTCGGTCCTATAACAAAATGTTAAAAAAAAAAATTATCATTCATCCAATTCGAACTTGGTCTTTCGGGTCAAGTAGCTCTAATTAAAGTTCATATTCCCTCTTCTCAGGGCAACGGTTCGAACCGGTCTTATAACAAAATGTTCAAAAAAAAAAAAAATTTATTCATCCAATTCAATGTCTCAATTTCTCTTTTTGCCCCTTTTATGAGCCCGTATAATATTCTTAGATGAAACCCTTTTTAATGGAGAACTTGGGATAAAATCATTGAAAAGTCTACCCCACGTATGGAAATGGACAACCATGCATATACCTTACATAGTTGTATATATTATTATACATTAATAAAAACGGTTAACGTGTAATAAAAATTATTAGTTTTAACAATATAATTAATAAAAATCATAAATTTTAACAATATAAATAATAAAAATTATTAATTTTAATGATATAAATAATAAAAATTATTAATATATAACAAAATATATAACGAAATGTATAACTTTATAAGATTTACCAATCATTTTTCGATGCAAATACATGACCACTTTGAGTTTCTAACTGTTGCAACAATTTCTCATATTAAAGATTTGATTTTAAGTTGCTACGGATGTTCTTTATCCACGAAGCCGCTGGCCACGAGTCTTAAAACCCTAGCCTTTTCACTGCTGCAAAACCAGTCATGCCACCAAGCTTTTCTCTCTCTTTTTTTTTCTTTAATCAATAAAATCAACAGAAAAAAAATCAAAGACAACAAATCGACGTAGCATCGTTGCTACCAGTAATCATCGGGGATGCCAATTGCCCTTGAATTTTTTTATTTTTTTTGGATAGGAAAGAAGATGAATTGAAAAGCAAAAGCAAAGAGAAAAATAAAATTAGAAGGATTGATTAAGAAAGCATGAATTGAAAAGAAAGATAATAATTTTTTAGGTAGTAATATAAAAATAATTTTTTATATAATTTTTATATATTATTAAATGAATATATGTAGTTAATATTATGAGTCTTAAATAAATAAAAATTAATTATTTAAATGGCATGTAAAATTGTATTAAAAAATAATGAAAAAATTGTTTTTAAGTCACTTTCTTAACTCCCTTAAAAAGAAAAAATTTTGAAAAAGAA